TAATTTCTTTGAAGGCCCAGAAGAACTGCCCCCTCTCGGTAGGAATAATGCCCATTCCCGGCACTTTCTTAGATGTTAGAAAATTTGAAAGGTCAGAGTAGGTAGGCATGGAATCAAATTCTGGGCTAGGATGTATATATTTAATATTTAAGAAAACCGCAGGTGCTAGCTGTGAGCAAAGAAAGGTCTACCTTAGTTAAAAGGCATGTGTCAGTAGTAAAGGAGATTTTCCTAATTCTTTGTTGCTATGACACATGGACACGTTACTTGTTATAGTTCTTAGATGGCTCAGTGAATCAGGCAGCATGCCCTTAAGCGGTTTTTAGAAATCATGAGCAGAGGGGCTGGGGCTGGGGCTGGAGCTCACTGGTAGAGCACTTGCCTAGCATGTGTGAGGCCCTGGGCTTGATTCTCAACACCACATATAAATAAATAAAAAAATAAAGGTCCATCAACAATTAAAAAAAATATTTCTTTAAAAATTATGGACAGAGAAGGATTAGGTCCATTACCATCACCGGGGTTCAGTGAGCACATAGCCCTCAACCTTTGACTGCATCTAACACTTTTCCATCTCCAAGACACCTGCTCCATTGCCGAGAAGAGCACTTAAAGGCTAGGTGCTCACGTCTTGCTGCTGTTCTCGGGTATGATTTAAAGTTAATAGCACTGTTCCCGTCCTGTCTTCTCAGCATCTCTGCCTGTAAAACTCTTGATACTTTTATAACTCCAGTTTTTCTGAGTTCACCTTTGGCCCCTTCTTCATATTCCACGTGTACTGGAATCAGGAAACATCAGGTAATGAGTACCGCTGCGTCAAATTCTCATTCAGCTTTGCACAGCAGCTACTAAGAGAAGGACAATTATAATCTCAGTACAGTGGCTGGCGCCATCCCATATTCCACACAGCTGAAGACGGACATGCGCTGTTCCTGTAGTCAGTTCCCACCCGCCTTTCTGTACCGCCGACCTCACTGTAAAGATAAATGTCTTATAAGCACAGCCCCTCAAGACCAGACTCCAATTTCATTTAGTGCCCAGTGGATCAGTGATTCATTCTCTTGCTAGCAGGGGGAAAAATGTACATATTAGATTTATTAAGAGAGAGTCTGTCAATCAAATGAGGCCTTGCTTCCTATGGGATATAAGAGTAATTTTGACTATGAGCTTTCTGTCTTGTAGGTTGATTTTAATAGCAAATTGCTGTTAATTTCCAGGTTCTGGAATGTGGTCATTCCCCTACAGTTTAGCACGAATATTTCATACATTGGAGTCAGTGAGTCATCCAGTTTGATATTTCTGTATGGAGACTATATCATGACTATAGAGTGCTGTTGATATTCCTAAGTAAAAATGGCAGCACTAGTAATAGTGTTTGTTTAGTCCTTACTCTGACACCCGTCACTGTGCGAGGATGTGCTTTACGTTCACCATCTTGTTTGATCTTCTAGAACCCTTTGAGGTAGTCCTGTTATGCTATTATTACACAGTAACAGACCAAAAGACAATCCAGGAAATAGATCCATACCTTCCCGTGTAAATATGTTCTGAAATTCAGGTGTTCCCAGGTGCAGAGTCACAGACAAAGTAATAGAGCAGCTCAAACAAACCTGCTTCAGAAGTTCTCATATAGGAGTGGGTTGTCCAGAAGTTGGAGTGCATTTTCCCAAGGAAATGATATTATTATAACAAAAGCATCTTTCCGGTAGTGTGCCTGAGGGAGTAACAACAGACCTGAACCATCTTGTACACCAGTGTTGCCAGGAAAAATTTACTCAAGAACTTCCCTTCATATTGCTATGGACACATTACTCCACCAAAGGGGGATTCTCCTGTTTGAAGCAATAGAATAAAGCCAGACACTTTGGCTCACCCCTGTAGTCCCAGATCCTTCAGGAGGCTGAGATAGAGGATCCCAAGTTCAAGGTCAGCCTGGGCAGCTTAGTGAGACCCTATTTCAAAAAGAAGGAGGTGGGTGCAGGGGAGGTAGCTCAGGGTAAAGCACCCCTGGGTCCAATTCCCAGAATAAGAAAGAAACAATAGAATCATTAGATTCAACTTGCAACTCAGCGCTTCTCAGGGTTTGGGGGGAGTTGATGGGAGGAAGGAGGATGGAAGAGGGAGCAGACCTGGGCCCAGGGCCTAGGCCCAGGAGACCTTAGGTGAGATGAAGCCTGCGAGGGTGAGGGCTGGGTTGGAGTTGCAGAGAGGAGAGAGAGGGCTAGAGAGTTTGGGGACCCTGGAGTCACCTCTCCTCAGGCAGCTGCCTGTTCACCATGGAGCCAGGGAGTGTGCCTTCCTGCTTCTCTTTTCCTGCTAACATCCAGGGCTTTCCCCCACAGCACAGCAGCCCTGAGGGACTTGCACTTCCACAAGGGAAGGAGCCCATCCTAGGCCCTCAGGACTTCCTCTTTTTCTCTGGGACCTGGAAGTAAATGTCGGACAGCAGGTACTTTGGGCTCATGGGCCCATATGGGACTGAAATAAAACGCATAAACATTTCAGATGTGGCTGTCCTGGGGGAGGCTTGTGGGAGAAGGCAGAAGCCCTCTGCTCCTTTCTCTTCTCCTTCCACAGTTTCTCTGTCCTCAAAGGGAGAGTGTGGGGGTGGGGCGCGCCTGGGCCCCAGATTGCAGCTTGCCTGATGTGCCGCCCCCTGCCCCCCGCCCCCCGCCCCCCAGCTTTGCTGGAGATGGGAATCATCTGTGGTGCTGTAAAAAGCCAAACTTCTCAGACCCACTCCCAGACCCACCGAGTCAGTGTCTCCACAGGAAGAGCCCGGAAGCAAGTAACTCAGGTGATTTCTGTTGAGGAAGTTTTGGCAAAAACTGCCTGCCTATCCCCACCCACACACGCACACCTATGGCTGGTTCCGGGACATTCTAGGCCCTTGCTGGCTCAGAATCCTGGTGTATGTTTCATGAGAAGCTCTGCCCTGCCCCCTGCTCTGGGCTGGTGCCTTCTCATAATATCTCGACTCTACTGAAGAATGATTTCCTCAGAAAGGCCACCCTTGTCCCCTCACTAGCCAAATCACACTCCTGGTTCATCCTCTCCCACCGCTCGTGTGTTTTCTCCTTAGCATTTGTCACATGGTCTATGTCCAGGGAATACTGGGTATTTTTTATGTGAATGAATGAGTAGAAAATTATGTTGGAAGAGGAAGGATTAGATTGAGTGTTGCTTCAACAAAAACAGAGAGCTGGGCTCTGTGATCCCAGTAGCTTGGGAGGCTGAGACAGGAGGATCGTTGAGTTAAAAGCCACTTAGCGACTTAGCGAGGCTCTAACAACTCAGCAAGACTCTGTATCTAAATATATATATATATAAAGGGCTGGGCATATTACAGGGACACAGCCACATCAATGTTTATAGCAGCACAATTCACAATAGCTAAATTGTAGAGCCAACCTAGATGCCCTTCAGTAGATGATGGATAGGGAAACCTTGATATATATACACAATGGGAACATTACTCAGCATTAGAAGAGAATAAAATCATGGCATTTGCAGATAAATGGATGGAGTTGGAGAAGATAATGTTAAATGAAGTAAACCAATTCCAAAAAAAAAAAAAAAAAGCCAAATGTTTTCTCTGATATTGGATGCTGATCCATCATGGGGGTGGGGAGGAAGCATGGGAGGAATGGAGGAACTTCAGATAGGGCAAAGAGGAGGGAGGGGAAGGAAGGAGGTATAGGGGGAGGAAAGATGGTGGAATGGGATGGACATCATTATCCTAGGTACATGTATGAAGACACGAATGGTGTGACTGTACTTTGTGAACAACCAGAGATGTGAAAAATTGTGCTCTATATGTACATTATGGATTGAAGTGCATTCTGCTGTCGTGTATAACAAGTTAGAGTAAATAAATAAATTTTGTGAAAAGGGGGGTACTGGGGATGTGGCTCAGTGATTGAGTGTCCCTGGGTTCAATCCCCAGTGCCAAAAAAACAACTACAACAAAAAAAATGAGTAATTTTTTTTATTAATCTCCCAAGTAAAACTTGAACATATCAACTAAAAAATCAAGGCAGATGGGCCCACCAAATAAATGTATTTATGAGCACAGTGGGTCAAATTCCTTCCAAAAAACATGTATCTGATATGGCATAAAATGCGGCATTAGAGACCTGTAGATACAGAAGTGCTAATACGATCCGTGTCTTTATGGCACTCACATTCTGGCATTGATGACAGATACGAGCCACGCTGTACATGATTTCACAATTATAATCTGATAACTGCAGTGAAAGAGTTCCAGAGACCTGTAAGAGCCTCGAGGAGATTGGCCATGGTTTAGGGCATTTCTGAGACATGTAACTGAGGGCCCTCTGCACAGAGAACCAGTGACACTCTGTCCAGCTTCCTGTCAGAGTTGGTGTGAGCAGAGGTGCTGTGTGATGGTTTGTCACCCTCAGCACAGTTGACATTTTGGACCAGGTAATTTTTTGCTTGGGTGTTTTCCTGTGTCCTGCAAGATGCTTGGTAGCATTCCTGGCCTCTTCTCGCTAGCTGCTGGGAGGGAGGACCACAGATGTCTTGACAGTGCCACACGACCATGGTGGGTGCGATGACAGTGAGTTCCACTGCTCCTCATGAAATACAGTGTCTGTAAAACGTGTCTTCTTTTGATTTATCTAAGTCAACACCAGGAACTTAATGTTTTCACTCACCAAACAACCATTTATCAAGTAGCTCTCATGTGGCAGACCCTGGAGACGCAGCAGTGACCCACACTTGTGCTTTCTTAAAGCTACATTCCAGTGGGGAGAAATGGACACTAAAGCTTGACTTGTGTAAGAGTTCAGGAAAAGGGTATCCCTGGGTCACAGACGTCCTCTCTGATCAGATGACATTTGAACACAGTCTTGAAAGAAGCCCAGGAATGAGCTGCGTGAGAGGAAACACCACGAGCAAGAGGCAGAGCCCTTAGTTGGTTGGACTTGGCCTCGCCTTCCCGTCCCTAGGTCTGACCCAGCTCCTTTGTGTTTCAGAGGGGCCTCCACAGAAGGGCAGCTGAACGGACTCCAGAGCAGCCTTAACTCTGCAGCCTTTATGCCCATCACCAGCTCCACAGGTCAGTGACCAGCAGGCCTTCAGTAGGAGGGGTGGCAGGAAGGTGGCAGCTTGGCATCTTCTCTCTTTTGCTTCTGACCGGAGCTCCAGTTTCAAATAACCAAATGCCCAGACTCTTCGAGCACTGGGACGAGCATTTTTGTTCCGTCCTCCTTTTAAATAATGCAACAGCCTAGATAGGCATTTTTTGCCTGTCTGGTAGAATGCTATCAGATTTGCAGCATTTAGCAAAAACGCCCTGTATTTGACTGTTAATATTTCCACATGTATCTCTCACTTAATCCTCACAACAGTCCATGAGGTGGACCTTCTTGTCCCCTGAACATGGGAGTTTGTGGACTTGAGGGAGGTTACGCGTGGATCCAGAGCCTAGGTGTAAGCTAAGCAGTGGAGGCCCAGGGTTAGTGTTGTGTGAATAATAATTCATAAAAAACACACTAAATAATCAGAAAATTGAATGAAATCACTTTGATTCAATTTGATGACTATTGATTATTGAGCTCCTACTATGGAGAAGGTAACTTGCTAGGCCCTGAGGTACGCACAGGGTGTAGGGTACAGTGTCCACTCTGGGAACCACAGACTCAGAGAGACGGAAACGTCCTCAGGGAGTGTGCTGCAGGTAACCTCCCGGTTCTTTATGAGTACTAGGGACATATGGAATAACAGACAACTTTGAGCGTTTGCCGTGTGTCCAGCTCAGCTGGGAATGCTTTACAGGTCTTAAGTCATTTGTTCACTGAACAGGGATGTGATATAGGAACTGTATTCCCCATTTTATGACTAAAGAAACAAAGGGACAGATTATGAAATATGTCTAAAGTTACAGCTAATAACTTTAGTGGCTGGGCAGTTTTGGGACCCACATCTTTTGGGAGACTTGAATGTGGACAACTCAGCCAGGAGAGGAATGGAGATCTAAGAAGAGGCGGAAGTGTGTGCAGAGGCCCAGGATTCCCTCCCATCAGCGTGGCTAGGGACGCAGGCATGAGTTGGCGGTGGCAAGAGAAGGCTATGAAGTGGCAGAGTCCGTTAGGAGCCAAGTACGGAGCTGTTGCCCTGGCAGCGATGAGGAGCCCTGGAGGAGTTCAGGGAGGGGCTGGGGAGTGTGAGTGAGGGGTTGACATAATGCACCTTAAAGTGACCACAACATCTCTGAGAAGCTCGGCTGCTTGGCTGTATCATAGGGATAATTAAATAACCCTCCAGGCTTATTGTGAGGATTAAATGAAGTGCTATGTATGGAAGGCCCTATACCTACACCCAGGTCAGGTAATATTAATATGATGATAAGAGTATAAGGATTTGTTCTCCTTTTAAAATTTTAAACCTGAATATAAGAAATATTTGATAGGTATGTACTCATGACCCTCCCCAAAGAATTGCTAGAACATGGTAGTGGGTTTTTGTCGTTATTTGTTGGTTGATTGGTTTTTGTGGTGCTGGGATGGAACCCAGGCCTCGTGTCTGTTAGGCAAGCGTTCTACCCCTCAGTTACATCTCCAGCCTTTAGAACACAGCACTCATTTTTAAGGAAGTAAAATTTCCACCAGGAATTGAAATGGAAGAAAAGTGCCGGCTATGAGAATCATGGGCGAGTTTGAAGGTGTTCCTGAGACAAAGGCTCTAAGAGCCCCTTCCGCTCTCCAAATTTGCTTAAACTAGAGAAGTTGACTGTGCTTGGCAGCTCCAGGAGACCCGGAGGACTTAATGTGTACGCCGTTTAGTTGACAAGAATTGAGCTGAACCACCGTGTGCCCTCTGGCCGAGGAAGTTAGAAATGTGAGAGGTCATGTGAGTCAGGCTTGCAGCATCTTGACCATAAATTAGGTCTACTTAACCTTGGTGACCTTACCTAGTAGGTTTTGGCCTAGTCTACTGAATTTGGTATTAGCGTGGAGCAAAGAGAAGTCATACTTCTCCCTGGCCTCTAAGGTTGACCTTTGCCCCTACATCCACCTGACAGTAACAAGCAGATTATTCTTCTTACCTTGTTTAGGGTGCCTGTTACTGACTGCTTTTGTCAGCTGATGACTCTGGGCCTCTAAATGCCCTTGGATTTGTTCTCTTCTGTGACTTCCCTGGTGTTCTTGACCAAGAAGTGTTAAAAGAAGCACTAATGATCATGACACAGTGAGGGTCAGGTGTTTCCCATACCTCCCACGGCATCTAGCCTTCACAGTGTTAGTGACTAACTCTGGTGTGGTCATTTATACCATTAGCAAGTAACCGGCACATCATTGTCCAGCTGCAGATCCTGTGTCTTCTGTGGTTTGGTTAGATTTCACCAATTATTCTAGAGGTTCCAAAGGTGGCCAATGAGAAGTCTAGGTTACCAGTTGCTACATTTTTCTTTAAACTTAGAAGAAGGGAGAACAGCCCCCATGAGAAGACAGGAAGGGACTTTGGAAGTCTGTACCTGTACAGGAATCCCTGAACTGTCTTCAAAAGAAAGTTAGCCCCAGTCTCGTCCAGTAGACTCAGTTGGTTAAGCATGGTGCTAACAGCCCATGGCGCTATAGCAGGTTTTGTTTCCTGGCGCTTGACTCTTCCCCTCCATATGGCTAGCCAGGCTTGATGTGTGACTGGTTCCTCAGGCTGTTTGAATAAGGCAGTAGCTCATCCCAGGGCACCATTGAAAAACAACTCCCAACTGACAGTGGGTTCTTTACGTTCTGTTTATTGCAAACATTAAATGAGGTAGTGAATGTGGATGCGCCCAGCAGAGTGCCTGGAATACTCTGTGCAGGTTACTTTTCCTAGACTTCCTTACCTTCCGCTAAATATTCTAATTTTGCTGTGGAAGGGAAGGGGTAAAGTCAGCAAATTTAGAAATTTGAGAAGGAAGCTGGAGTGAGGGCTCTTGGCCCAAAGCCAAGTCCTTGGCTTTCCTTCTTTATAACCATGGCATTCTTCTGGAGTTCTGAAGTGCTAAAAGTGAACAAAAATAGAAGACAGCCACAGATTAGATAACTGACATTTCTCTCATGCTGATTTGATAATGTCAACCACCATTATTGTAGGGTCCGAAGCCAGACCAGCTGCCCTCATCCCTGCCCCTTAACTTCTGTGGAGGTCCCTCCCATTCCTGGACTGTGCCCCCACCTCTTATTTTTAAGCTCTTATTGGTCAGTATTTTGTGCAAGGAACCTAATAGGCTCTTGAAAATCAGTGGTGGATTTCATTGACGAGAAGTAAGAAGCAGCGTCCTGTTAAATGTTCATTGTTTCGAGCCCTAAGTACGCCATAGGCAACAAGAGAAAGGAACTTACTTTAATATACAATATAAAGCAAAGCCAGCGGAGCTTAAGCCTGAAGGATCTAGAAGTTACTTTAACTTTCAAGTAAAATTATGCACCTGGCAGCTCTCGTTAGAATGACATATTTTTATTATCAGATTCTTACTCTTTTCACTATATATTATATAGTTGGTGGAGCAGCTAGTGGATCTGAGTATAAGAGGTTAAAAATTTAAAAATTAAAAAAAAAAAAAAAACCTGCAATGACTAGCCTACATCCTGTGCCCTTTATTGCTCCCTAGATGTTCCTCTCTCCCCAGGGCCAGGGCCCAGGAATTTGGGTCGATGACCCACTCGTACTGTTAGAAAGCAAAAAAGAGAGATCACAGCTCTGGTGTTTGGCAGGAAGTGGGGTGGCAGCATCTGTGAGAATGATGATCCCCATAACCTACTTTTAGATTTTACTTCTTGTCCTCTGGGCCAAGATCAAATATACTGTTAAGTAGGGATTTTTTTTTTTTTTTCCATTTTTTCAGGATCTTTGGAAGCTCCCCAAGTTATTTTCGCCAGATCCAAACCCTTGCCCACACAATCTGGAGCCCTTGCTACAGGTATAGGACAGAGAAAAACAAAGTCGGTGAAGTCAGGGCCAATTTAAGGTAATAGTAAGAATAACAGTGTATTTTAATCATTATCACGTTCTGACTATGGAAGAGACTCAGCAGCTGTCAAAAGAAGTGTTAGCTTCTCAAAGTGACAGTGACGAAGATGGTGATGTAGCTCACTGGTAGAGCATGCGCTTAGTATGTATGATGCCCTGGGTTCCATCCCCCGCACCTCCAAAAGAAGAAAAATGACAGTGAAGTTGGGACTTAATAAAACCAAAGCTCAGAACTCTCCAAAACCATAGGTCAAAGTTTAGATACAAATAGCTTGCTCCTATAATGATGTACCAGTAGGTGGCGCTCTGGCAGTAAGAAATTTCTCTACTATCACTAGAGATTGTGTTTTTTTTTTTTTTTTAACGTGGGGTCTTTGAGTTAAAGAAAGAAACTAAAGCCATACTCTAGTTATCACAGGTAAAATGTAACTGAATACATTGGGAAACATGATATTTTGAAGATCAAGTTGCAATCGTCTCGATAGAGAATGGATATTTATTAAAGAAGGCTTTGAAACTAAAGTTAGATAGTTTTGTGAACTGGACTTTCAGATAATGGGAGATAGGAGAGAACAAAAAATTTTCTTTAACATCTTGGTGAGGTTGATAAATTATGCTTTTTGCTGAGTTATTTAAATAACATATGCTATAATTGGCAGCAAAACAAACTGTAAGCCCCATCCTACACCCATCCAAAAAAAACTCATACATTGAAGGAGTTGTCAAACTTGATCTTGTGAAGCTGTATCCACACTTCACTAATGCTGCCCTCAGTATTTTCTTTCCAGCTGTGGGCTTCAAAACTTTCCAGAAAATTCTATGAAACCTCAAGGCTCTGATGATTCCTTTGCTCTTTGCGCTCCCCTACACACAAAATATTAATGGCACACATGCTTTGAGCTTAATATTCTCCTTACCTCTTGGGGAATATTTATATACTTATTTGAGAAGCATTATTCATTAAAATACCCCAGGAGAGCAAAGGAAAGAGGAAAATTATTTACCCACCACAGGGTTCATTTACATTGGATCAGAAAACTTCAAATATCTTTCCCCAGCCCATCCAAACTCTTTCCAGAAAGGAATGAGAAGAGAGACGGG